AGAGAAAAAAAGGTCTAAAAAGTGATAATGAAGAAGAGATGATATAGATTAAATTTTTTGATATTGTTAATTCTGGTTTATCTTTTTATCTTTAATTTATCTTAACAGAAATTGGGATGGTTATTTGTACAATTGAAAATCTTGTGTTTCAATGTGAAATTAAAAAAGAAATAAATGAAAATAAATGTGAACAACTTGTTTATTCATTTGGTCATCAAGAAGATGGAAATACTTGTTGTATTATTTTTTATGGTTGTTTGTTTCTTGAACCTATTAGAGGAAAAATAATGATAAGTAGGGAAACCACATCTTGATATTGATTTAACTGAATTGAATAAGAAGATTAATGAACCAATTGGGGATGTGTTTATTGATCTTGTTGAAACTATAAATGAAGTAATTAATGAACAAAAACCCAAAGAAAAACAGTACAGAATTATCGATCATTTAGAAGTTATTGAAGGGATTCCATTTGTTGGATACCATACTAGGAAACATACCTTTGGAAGAGTTTGGTTAAAAAATCATAAAGACATTAATCAAGTAAGGAAGATTTGTAATGAGATGGATATAAATATATATGAGGCACATCTTAGTCCTGACATTATATTTATGACTGATTTAGGACTAAGAACAATGATATTTGTTCATTTTAATGCTTTAATATCAGACCATAGAAAAACTAAATGTAAACATGAATATTATATTGATTGTAAAGTATTAAGTCCAAATGAGTTTGCTTCAGAAACAAAAGATGGACTGAGAAATGGAAATCTTAGAGTATATTGGGGAACATCTCCTTTTGTTAATTGTGAAGAAGGAGGAAGTAAAACTGAATCATTTTCAGAGAATGGTAAAATTCTTATTGATAAATGGATTACTCAAATGACTTTTCAAGAATATAATGACAAGTTGTTTCTTGATATTGATAGACTTCAAAGAATAATAGAAAAGTATAATTTGAATCCAGGGAGAGGTATTAGAGAAAATACTCAATTTCAAACACAAATGATGACACAAATCAGTCAGATGAATATTAACAAGATTTTTGAAAAGGAGATATATGATTGGAATGAAGAAATAGAATTTGATAGTTTTAATGAAGAGGTTGAAGTCACACAAGAATTAATCAACAAAAATGAAAAATTTTCTAGTCTTCAAATAAATGAAAAAGAAAAGGAGGAAATTACTTTTAAACAATCAAGTGAGGATGATAGTAAAATGGAATGTGAAGAACAAGATAAAACTAATGGGTTTGGAGATTTGGAAATAGAGTTAGATGGTTCTATACAGTTTCATCAAAGCTTAGATGAAAGTATAGACTCTTCAGAGAGAATGGAAATAGAAGAAGGAGAAGATGAGAATCAAACTTCAGGAATAGAATTATTAAGTCAAATTTCATGCACCAACTTTCAGATACAAAGAAACAATAATAAAATTTTCACTCAAACCTTACAAAACAAGGGACATAATTTTTTTGATGAAAACAAAAGTATAGAAGAATCAGTTCAACAAGGAAATAAAACACTTCAAATAAATTTATTAGAGAAAAATAATAGATTAATAAATCAAGAAGTTTTATTTGAAGAAAATAAACCAAAGTCATCAGATACATTAGAAATAAATTATAAGACAAATGAAAATGTTATTGTCTTTGATAGTCCACCAAGTTTATTTGAAATACAACAAGAAATAAAATACCATAAAATAAATATATATCACGAAGGTATTATTATTCCAAAAATAAATGAAATAAATGAATCAACTTATCCAATTCATTGTATATGTACAATCCCACCACCATCATTCATGGATGTAATTCAAAGTTTAAAAACTCAAAACAATGATAATGAATATATTGTAAATCAAGAAAAGAAATTAAATGATCCTTATTCATATTTTATGATAAATAGAATTAATAATCCATTAATAAGTAAGAACAGTTGTATAATTAGTATTCAATTATTATTTCATAGAATTGATGAATCAACAGGAAAATATCAAAATTCTAAACATGATTCTGTTGAAGGAATAATTGTTTATCAATCATTTAGAAATAAGACTTTATTTTATCTTATTCACACTGATTTAGAAGCTATTAAATATCTTCATAACATTTATAAAACACTTAAAACAATTGATATTATTTGTCATAATGAATTATCTCTTTTCAATTCATTGATTAAAATAATCAATGATGAAGATGCAGATATGATAATAGCAGAAGATTGCTCATTTACTATCCAATTCATTAATGAAAGGTATAAACTTTATAAACAAGGAAGTTTTAATGATAAAATTAATAGATTGCAAAATGGAAAAGGGATAAAAGGAAGATTAGTATTAGATATGTGGCACATTTATAAGGAATGTAGTAAATTTTCCAATTATGAAACTGATTATATTGCTAAGCAAGTATTTAATGTATCATTACCAAATGTTAATTATTTATGTTATAATGCACCAGAACAATTATTAAATTCCTTTTTAAGGTTTCATTGTTGTTTATTATTATTAGACTATTTTGGTTATATAAACCGAATTCGAGAATTTGCACAGTTTCACTCTTGTCCTCTTAAAGGAGAAATAGAACGAGGTTCACAATATAAGGTTGAGTGTTATTTAAAAAGGGTGAGTAAGAGTGAATTTAAGTTATTTTCACCAAGTGATAATCAACTGAATTCTAGTAGAGCAACGGATTGTGTTGCATTAGTAATGGAGCCACAGTCTGGGTTTCATAGTAATCCTGTTATTGTACTAGATTTTCTTTCTATGTACCCAACAACAGCAATAGCTTATAATATATGTTATTCTACATGTCTAGGATATGTAGATGATATTAATATTGAAAGAAAAATTGGACCAATGACATACTCTTTTGAAAAAGAAAATTTACATACTCTTAAGGGTAATATTCATGTTGTAGCGAATGGAATAATGTTTGTAGATGCATGTGTTAGAAAAGGGATATTACCTATTATGCTTGAAGAAATGTTATCAACAAGACAACACATTAAAGAAAGAATGAAGATGTTTACAAAAGGGAGTGAAGCATATAAAAAATGTTTTCTTCAACAATTAGCACTAAAATTGTTATGTAATGTAGTTTATGGATATACAGGCGCTGGGCTATCTGGGAGAATGCCTTGTAATGAAATTGCAGATGCTATTGTTGAAACAGCTCGACAAACACTAGAAAAAGCCATCAATTTTGCTGAAAGAAAGTTTGGAGGAAAAGTAATATACTCAGACACTGATAGTTTGTTTGTAGAAATGGAAGGTAAGACAATAGAAGAATCCTTTGAAGTTGGAAAACAATTATGTGAAGAATTTAATAAAACTATTCCTCCTCCAATGAAACTTCAATTAGAAAAAGTGTATTGGCCGCTTGTTACTGTTACAAAAAAAAGATACTTTGGAATGAAGTATGAAAAATGTGAAACAAAACCAACTCTTGAAGCTAAAGGTCTTGAGGCTGTAAGAAAAGACAGTTGTGAAGTTGTAAGAGGGATGATGGCATCTGTGATGAAATATTTATTAAATAAAGATATTGAAGGAATGAAACAATACTTAGAAATCAACTGGGAAATGATCCAAAAGGGAGAAGGATTTATTGATGACTTTGTAATTAGTAGACCATATAGAAGGCATTATGCTGAAGGAAGAAAACCACCAATTGGAACAAAAGTCGTTTTAAAAGAAAGAGAAAGAGATAATACTTTCTATTTTCAGTATGGACAAAGAGTTAAATATGTTGTTGTTAGGACATCATCTGGAAAATTATGTGATAGCGCTGTAAGCCCACAATTTGCTGCATCAGAACAAATGATTATTGATAGTGATTATTATATTAATAAACAAATTAACAATGCATTACAAAGAATTTTATTACCTTGTGGTATTGACATTAATAAATGGTATAATACTTCATTAACCACAATCCTTTTTGAAGGAAGAAAAGATAAGAAAGTAAGATTAGAAGATTATTATTTAATCCATAAATGCATCCGATGTAATAAAAAAATTATAGGAGAAAGTTATTTATGTAAAACATGTTCATATGATAAAAGAATTGTAATTGCTGAATGTCAATTACATATCAAAGAGATGGAACAAAGACTAATAGATATGAAAAAGAGATGTTTGTATTGTCAATTACAATATCCTTTTGAATGTATATCAACACAATGTCCTATTTCATTTAAACTTATCAAAGAAGAAAGTGAGTATAGAAATTTTCTAAAAGATGTAATGAAGAATAATGAAACAACTATAATCAGTGACTATGAAATAGAACAAGATGGTATGGTTATCTAATGATTGTATATCATTTGGTTTTTTCTTTTTCTTTTAATAAATAAGAACTATAAAATTTTAAAATAGTATTTAAGATGAAACAAGAAATATGGTTTTATGGAATGTTTATTGTTCAATTAGTACTTGACATTGCCTTCTTTCTGACATGTAAATGGGCTTGGACATTAAATCTTTATCTTGATTCATTTGCAGATAATTATTTTGCTGATCATATATGTGTTTGGTATTTTGTTAGTGTAGGAATAATCTTATATTTGGTTTCATACTTCCACAGTGGAAGTTTAATTTCTATGTATTCATTATCAATTAAACCAAGGTTTGTTTAATTTATTTAAAAAATGAAATAATAAGGTTTGATTTGGTAGGAAAAAAGAACAATATTTTTGTTATATCCATGGACCAACACTTGGAAGAATTTTCATTTCATTTGGGTGTGTTTTATATTATCATTCATCGTTTGGACTAGCATTATGGGGAGGATATATTGGAGTGGCATTAATTGCATCAGTGATTATAGAAAGTCAAATTCTATTACCACACATTCCATTAATGGATTATGGGTTAATCTTTGGAAGAATAAGAATTCCAAAACCTTTAAAACAAGAACATCTTGATTGATTTTTCTTCTTTGTATTAAACTAATTTTTTTTACTTTAATATATATAAAGAATTTATTCAATTATTTAGTCATCACTTTCTTCTGAATGTTTTGACTTTTTCTCAACACTCATTGCTGATTCATCTTCTTTTTTAATTTCAAGTAATTCTTGTTGTGTAGAATCATCTAGTTCATCCATTTTATCAATAGTATTAGCAAGTGTAATATCATCATCATTCCATTTGGCATCAATCATTAATAACCCATCTCCATTGATTGTTGGCAATAAATATTTATTATTTTCTATTTCTTCAAAGAAATTTGCATTAAAATTTTTTACTTCTTCTACATTTATTTTATTCTTTCTGATGAAATTAATTAATTTAATGTAATTATATTGATTCCCTTGTGCAATTTGGTAAAGTTCTTCAAATGAAATATGATGTTTTTCGTTCATATGTTTTAAAAGAAGGTCAATGTCAAGAAACTCTTTACAAAATAAACATGGTGTCCTAAATGAAGTTTCATCATTTCCATTATCCCAATCCCAGTCATCACTATCACTACTCATTGTTGTTTGTTTCTATTTATGAGTTGAATTTTAGGTTTTTTTTTAATTTTGTTTTAAATAACAAAATTATATATTGTTTTTAATGACTAATATTGTTATATGAAAGTTGTTTTGAAAGTTAATGTACTAATAACAAGTTGAATAAAAACTTGATGGAAAGTTTCCATTTTAGTTGTGTGTTTCATTTTTATTTCAAAGAATATTTTTGTAATGGACATTAGTTCTTTTTTAGAGAGAGTAAACAATATCAGAAAATCTAAAGAGATTTCAATAGGAAAAAGAATTAATTTATGTTTGTGGTTATTTGGTTGAATGAATAATATTTTTAGTAGTTCAAGTGATATAACTTTGATCGTTAAATTAATTTTTTTTTTAAGATTTCTTTTCATTGAATTTCCATTCAAAATTTTTATTTAAGAATTGTTTATATAAACAGTTAAGTAGTAAGGAAAATTCTATAAATTACTTTGTGTTATTGGTTATGTAATAATGAAAGATTTCTTAAATAGAACTTTTTATATAAATGAGTTTTTGATGATAAACTTGAAATAGTCTTTTGTCTGCCTTAATTTTTTTTTGAATATTAATCAACCATCCATCTCATTGTATTCCTTGTATAAATGTTAAGTATAACAGTTATTCTTTATGATTAAATAAACCCAATTTGGTTATTTTTTTTTTGATTTTGTTTCTTCCGTAGTTGATAGAAGAATTAAAATTTTGTCTTTTCTCTCTTTTCTTTATTTATTTAGAAGTATGCTATGGATACCTCAATCAAATATCAGACTACTAGTGACATAATACTGATAATTATGATAAGTGATAAAGTCAACTTCTTTTTTAGTTGTTTTGTCAACAGCAATAAATGCTGCTTCTTTACAAAGAACATGATATTTCATTGATAATTTTTTTGCTTCTTCTTTTTTTGTTTTCACTTTCTAATTTTATTATTTGACTAAGTGCCATTAATTGGTGAAGGTTGATTTCCAATGACTTATGGTTATTTTATGTATTTTAACATAATCTTCAACAAATAGAACAAATAGAATTCCTCATTTGATTTATTTTGATAATGCTAGAATGAATAAAGATAGATAGCTTTTGTTACTATCATAAAATTCCACTAATGCTAAATACTTGTAGTTGATATTGAAAAAAATAAAGAAGTTACTTTAAATATTATTTTCATAGTTATTAAATATAACTTTCTGATTTTGTCAATTCGCATACTGCCAATAATTGGTTTGAATTGGAATATAATTTTATTGTGTAATGCTCATTTGGTGTATAACGATATTTTATTGCAATTGTTAAACTTTCTTGTTCTGCAAAGGCATGTGCTAAAGGTTTTAAAGAATCAGTGGTATATAGTCCAGCCCATACATTATAATGATTGTTTGTGAAAGAAACATTAATATAATCAACTGACCTATATCTCATTAGACATTAAATATAAAAATAAAAAAAAATATGACAAACATTCTTTGAGCATGAACTGTTGGTGTAGGTAAAGTAAATGGAGAAGAAAATCCAGATGGAGCTGTTGTGTTTGCTATTGAGGAACAATTTTTAAAATATCTAAATTCAAATTTATGAGAAGTAAGTTCTTTATCACCAACCATTGCATCCAATTGTAATTCAGAAAGGTCAAATGTAATTTCATTTTTAGTGGTTGATACAGTTTGTTTTGTTAGATATGATTTCATTGATGGTGTTCCACAAGTAAACAATCCAATTACATCTTCTGAAGAACAAATATTATTATAGAAGACATGAATTAAATAAGGAGTATGTTCATCAAATTGAGTTGTGATCTTTACTACATCACCTATACAAATCCTATTAGAAACACAAATTAATTTATATTTATTTCCCACGAATAAAACAGAGTCATCTTCAAATAATCTAACTTCATACATTCCATCAGGTAATGGGTCAAAAGAAATAACTGTCTCTTGTTTTTTACTATCTATAAATTTATATTGACAATATTGATTACTAAATTGTCTCATTACAACAAATATACCAACCCATAACTTCTTGTTTAATTCTTTGTCAGAAAGTTCAACTTTACAATTAACACCATGAGACCCTTTGCCTATTGAAGCAATGACGTTTGTACTTTTTTTTTCCATTATAAAATGATTTTTAAGTTTTTTTTTTATTTTTGTTTTAGTCAACAGAAATATTTCAAAATCTTCATTACAGACAAGTTCATCACGAAAATAAATATAAAATCACCACATTATTTTCTATTCTTTTAATTAGTCGTTAAAATTTATTTATTAGATACAGAAAAAAAAAGTTATTTTGAAGTATCAATCATTAAGAAATTAGTCACAAAAAACATCAAAAAAGGAAAAAATTGAATAAGAACTTAAAAAAAGAATAGTTTTGTCTTTTACTCATAAAAATGACTATGACACAACGTCAAAAAATAATTGAAGAAATCTATACTACTGAAGAATTTTATATTCAGTCAATGGAATATTGTTTAAATTTCTTTTTTAAAGAAATGAAAAGTGAAAAAAATCAATCTATTATTCCATCAGAAGATGTTGACATTATATTTGAACACTATGATGAAGTATTAAACATAAACAAAAATTTCTTTTTGGCTTTAAAAAAGTTACAGGAAACTCACAAAATTGAAACTCATCTTGGTCAAATTTTTAAATTATTTACCCCTTTTTTTAAGGTATATTTTCTTTATATATCTCATTATGATGACTCAAATCAAGTTTTAACAGAATATGAAAAGAATCCAAAGTTTAATGAATTATTAGCTTCATTACAAACACAAATTCCAACAACAACTAATCTTGATTTGAGAAGGTTTGTTTTTAGAATATTCTTTGCTTTATGAATCAATAAAATGACTGACACTTATTCATTATTAGTTACCTTATCATGCCTGTACAAAGGTTACCTAGGTATGAACTATTACTGAAAGATTTATTGAAAAATACAAAATCTGACCATCCTGATTATGCTGCACTTACTGAATCTCTTAATGGAATTAGAGCTGTTACTATGGAAGTTAATGAACGTACAAAAGACATTGATAGAAGAGCTAAAGTAATTAAGGTAAATTCAATGCTCTCTGGACTACATGACCTTCAATTAGTAGAACCAGATAGAACATTAATCATGGAAGGACAATTAATTAAAGTATGTAAGAAGAGTAATAAACCTCGTTACTTTTACTTATTTGATGATGTTATGGTGTATGGAATTGGAAATCAACGAATTACTGTGAGTGGATGGTTTTATCTAAAGAATGTATATTTAGAAAACGATTCTCGTTTTGAAAATAGTTTTAAAATCAACAATGATAAAAAGAGTTTTTCTGTAATTTGTGAAACCTCTAAACAGAAAAAAGATTGGTATGATGCTTTGACAAAATATTCTGAATTACAACGAAAGAACTCTGCTATAGAAAACACTTTGCAACCAAAAACTACAACTATTCCTGATAATGAACCAAAGAACTGTTTATTATGCAAACAACCATTTACCTTTGTTAATAGAAAACATCACTGTAGACTCTGTGGAAGATGTGTTTGTAGTAATTGCAGTAAAGCAAAGATTCCATTAAATTCAAAAGGAGAGATAGACCGTGTTTGTAATTTATGTTTCAGTAAAGCAACAGGTAAAAAATTGGATGATGGAGCTATTAATCAAAAGAAACCAATTAGAAGAGACTGTAAAAGAAGTAATTCAGTTGGTAATCCAGAAGAGATATTTGATGGACTTAGTGTTATTCTCAATCCAGATATTCAAAGAACACAAACGGCAAATATTTTGAATAATGTTGAAAATAGTAAAAGTCCATTAGGAAGAAGTATTGGTAGAAAAGAAAAGTTAAAAAATCAAAAAAAAGGAGAAAGTATGAAAGACTTAACTTTTTGTCAACTCATGGAAGGTATGTCTTCACTGCCAAATCCTGCAAACAAGACTCCTGAGTGTAAAATTGGTTCAAGTAATAGTCTTGTATATTTTGACTTTGTACAACAAAACCAACCTAGTCAAACTCCTGTCGATTGTCAGTTTTCTGATCTTGGAATTGCTAATTTTCCTAATAGCTATAAAGGTAGTAATAATGATACTGCTATTAAAAAACAACCTGAAACTCTTCAACAGACTTGGATCCAACCAATGTCAAGTATTCAATATCGAGACGCATTGAATTCCTTTGACTTTTGTAATAATAATGATTTTATTGAATTTCAAAGTCAACCTGTTAATAAACAAATCAATGGAGATGAAAAGAAAGACATGTTTAATGGATTAGTAAATATTCCAGTTACTTATTCAGGAACTAGTCACCAAAATTATTCAATAAATCCTGGATGTTCTAAGAAAGAATTAGGAGTTTCATCAAAACCATTTAAACAAAATGAAATAAATACAATACCTATGAAACAAATGACTGGTGATAAAGAAATTAAAAAACAACAACAAAAATTACCAATACCTATTTGTATTACAGAGTCTTCTCAAAGCAATCCAAATAATAACCTTAAGAAAGATAATGCACTAAATGAGTTAGAGGTATTAATGAATGACTATTTTAAATCTAAACCCCAACAACTAAATCCTACTCAAAAAATAAATGAACCGACTTTTGATAGAACAAAAGGAATAACTATAGTTGGTGGTTCACATTAAATTGTTTAATGATTTATTATTTGAAGTATTTGAGTTATTATAGCTCAAAAGAAGACTTTGTATTATTATTGAAATTTGTTTGGGATTATTTCTTTTAAGTCAAATATCATTTCTTTTTTTATACCTTCTTAAGACAACATATTTTCATTAAATATTTCTTTTATTCATTATTTATATTTTAACTTCACAATAATTAACGAAATTTATAAATTAACAATTTTTATAATCATAATAATTGAAGAAATTAATTTAATTATCCCAATACTTGTTTAACCATTGACCAACTTTAGTTAAGTCAACTTCTTCTGCAATTTCTTTTAATTTTGGAATTAATTCAGTTTGGTCTAAATTAACAACACACCCCAATGATGGATCAAATCTTAACCATCTATCACCAAGAAACATTCTACCCGATTTAATAGTCCAACTTCTAGTGGCATACATAAAAGTGTCACTAATTTGTGTTGCCCATTGCATAATTCCTCCTTACCAATTTTATTACTGTCAATATAAAAAGGGTCTGGCTTTCCTGCTGATAATGAGAAACAAACAACTTTTTTTGGGTTTAATTGAAGACCTTCTTCACCAAATAAAAATGACCAACAAAGTCCAATTGGAGTATTATTCAGCATACCTCCATCTACGAAATTTTGATATGGCTGAAAGTATGTTGGAGCAGAAGAAGAACGTAGACAAATATCACTTAATTTTTCTTCTTCAAATCCTTTTTGAAGATTAGTAAAACAAAAAGACTCACATGATCGATTTGGTTCTTGTTCTTCAGAGTCAATTCTAAAAGTGTCCACAAGATATTTACATTGAATATCTTTAATTTTAATTTCTTTAAATATATACTCTAATATATACTTCAATTTATCATTACGATATTTTGGTTGATTTATTGCAATTGTTGGTTTAACAAATACTTCTTGAGAAATGATATTAAGTAAATCGCTACAATTTCGTGGTGTTATTCCAATAGCTAACATAGAAACTAATATCGAACCTACAGAACATCCACAAACTAAATCAATATTTTTTAAAAATTGTGGATGTTTTTCAAGAATACGAGCAAGAATAATACATTCTAAAACTCCTTTAATTCCACCTCCATCAATTGATAATATTCTAAATATTTTTTTTTATCAATACATGTTCTAGGATCAAACATTTCTTTTGCTCTTTCTCGTTTTAATATTTCATCTAATTTTTCATTTAAACTTGTTTTCTTTTTACGTAATTCTGCTAATGATGCTTTTAATTCATTTACTTTTTGTTCCATTACCATTTTACCTTTATAAGTTGCTCCTTCTAATTTTGTTTTCATTAATGAAGTTAATGACTCTTCAGTCTCTTTATTTTCTTCATTTATATCTTCAATTGTTTTAGACCCTTCTTTTAATATGTCCCACATTAAAAAATTTCCTTCTTCTAATGCAATAAGTGCAGGTGTCATAACATTCTTATTTTGTTTTGTTTTTGAAGCCCCTAATTTCAGTAATAATATGGTTGATTCATAGTCTTGAGTTCGTGCTATACAATGAAGAGGAGTATCTCCATTTTCATTAATATCTTCTAAAGCCAATGGATTTTGACTAACAACGTACTTTAAAAATTTATCTTTTTTAGGAATTGTTGACTGACAAATATAATGAACAATATTATTCCCATTTTGTGTTTTAATAGATAAACTACTTTTCTTTGAAATTAGTTTGCATTGACTACTTCCATTCTTAATTGCAATAAGTAATGGTGTCTCTCCTGTAGAATTTGTATATTTAAGCCAATCTGATTTCTCTTCACAAATAAAATTTATAATTTTCTCTTTTTTTTCTTTAAAAATGAAGAATAAAATGGATTTCAGAATTTCTGTCTGTTCTTTCCACTCTTTAATCACTTTTATAGCTTCTACATTAGTATTAATTAAAGAAATTATGCCTTCAACTTTCGCCCCTTCAATAGACATGACAAAATGAGTTCTTTTTTGAAATGAACTTGTATTTTCAACAAATTAATCAAATCAGAAAATGGTAGTTTAAAGCAGATTTTGTTTGTGTTTTGCTTATAACACATTTTCTCTTACATCAAAAAGAGAAATTAAAATAAACCCTAAAGGGTTTGAATAAAAAGGAAGAAAAAAGTGAAAAACTAATTATAAAAAAAGTGAACTCAAAAATCTGAAATGAGTGATATTCCTGTTCAAAAGACAAATGAGCCAAAACTAACACTAAAAGAAATTATTGGACAAAGATATTCAAAAACTGGAAAGAAAATAACTGACTTTTTTGGTGTTGTTTATCAAGCAAAAGATGAAAAGAAAGCTATTCCTGTTTCAATCAAACTATACCAACAATCTGAAGAAGACATTGATGGGATACAATCTAATTGTCTTCGAGAGATTGCTATATTAAAAAAATTAAATCATAACAATATTATAAAAATGATTGACTATTATTATGGTATTGAAGGATGTTATATCGTATTTGAATCATGTGACAGAAATTTAGAAGAATATATTAAAACTTTCGCAGGAGAATTATCTCTTAATACAGTTCAATTAATATCCAAACAATTACTTGAAGCAGTTGAATATTTACATTCACATAGGATATTACATCGCGATATCCGACCATCTAATATTATCCTCTCACTTTCTAGAACAATAAAACTTACCAATTTCTCACTTTCTAGACAAGTAACAATCCCAATAAGAAAATATACACAAGAAGTAGCAAATATATGGTATAGAGCTCCAGAAATTATATTAGGAGATCAAGGGTATGGAACAGGTGTAGATATATGGTCTGTTGGATGTGTTGTTGCAGAATTAATCAATTCTAAACCATTATTTTCTGGTGATTGTAAAATTGGTCAACTCTTTCAAATTTTTCAAATATTTGGTACTCCTACAGAAGAGTCTTGGCCTGGTGTTACTCAAATGATCAATTGGAGTAATCGTTTTCCAAAATTTAAAGGAAAAACCCTTCATAGTGTGTGTAGTAGGATTGGAGACCAAGGAATTGATTTATTAAATAAAATGTTATGTTGTTATCCAAATAAACGAATTGATGCTAAAGAAGCATTAAATCACCCTTTTATTAGTTTTTATAATTGATTAGTTTGAATTATATTAAAAATACTCAATACGTTAATAAAAACAAATAACGTTAATTTCTAAAGAAAAAGTAATACATTTAATTATTTGAGTCAAAAAATGAAGCTAGCTCTTGAGATAAACAAACTTCTGGATGAAGACAAATGCCAGAAAAATATATTTGAAAATCAACCATACGTTGTTCTTGTGTTGGTTTTATAAAATATACTGTTGCTGGTGGAAAAGATGGGATTAGATTACCAAATTTATTAGTTAATTCTTCATTAAACTTAGACAAGTCATTATATCTTCTTAATATTTGTTTTCTTTTAATTCCATTTATAAATAACTCTATTTGATAATAATCTACTTTTTCTATTTGAGTGAATTGAGTAACTTTAATATCAAAACCAAGAATACCATTCATGTTAATGTAAATATTTACGAAATACTTTTTCAAAGATCTTAATAAAAAAGAAACAGAAAAAAAATTAAATTTTGAATTAATTTTGAGGGACATTAGCAAGGACTTGAGCAAAGAATTTAAGTTCATTGTGTCTTGCTTTCTTTAATTCTGGAACATCATTCTCTTTTTCTGAATAAAGATCAGAACAATGAGATGTTCTGTCAATTAACTGGACTAAATTACCTTCTTGATGATCAGACTCAGTAACTCCAAGAGCATGCCAAGGATCAGTGTTACCATTTGTAAATGCAACATTGGTTACACATGGTTTCTTTCCTCCATATCTAACATTGATATGATCAACTGCATTATATAATGTATCTTTATCAATGCCATAAATATCTTTACACATATCAATACTTCCTTGAAGTTGATTTAATTTACCCCATTTAACTGATGATTGTTCACTAACAGCTTGATAATATCCATAAGCAATACATGTTTGGAAAAACCATGATCTACCAGAAGCATCTTCATTTCCTTCAGCATAAGTAGAAGTATTTTGTAATGTTTTATAACTTTCTTCTTGAGAAGATGGAGTACATTCTTTATCAGCCCATTCTGGATTATATTTTTCTTTAATAAATAATGGGTATTTATTAACAATATCCTCATTAATTTCAGCACAAATTGAATCAGTACTTTCATATGAAGGTTTCCAATTTGAAGAATTATATTGAACATAACCAGAAAGAGCTGTTCCAATAGACTCTGCAAATGTTTGAATATCTTTTTCACCAAATTCAGTACAAGTATTGAAAATCTTTCCTAATTCTTTTCTTCCTTCTTCAGTAGTAGTCATTTTATCCCATTGTTCAAATGCAAATGATAATAAATCTGCAGTGTTTTTAGGAAGTGCATTTTGTACAACTTCAAGATATTGATAAAAATCAACTACAGCTTCTACTGGAGCAGATGATGCCCATGCTCCTTCTACAACATTAGGATATTTTTGTCTCATCCAAGCAGCTAAATTACCACTATATGATCCACCAAGAACAATAACTGGATGTCCAACTAAATTATTTTCTTCTTGAACATGAGAAATAACTTCAACGTAATCCATTAATGCTTGTTCTGCAGTACAATAAATTAATTTATCCATTTCAAGTGATGGAGTTGAAGCACCATAAAAACGATGTTCAACAGATAACATTAATCCTTTATGCTTTTTAGCCAATGAATCAATGACGTAATTATTTTGTAATACTTTAGGAGAGGCAGGTCCTTCACCTCCTAATAAAACAAAAAGTGGTGCATTTGGGTCATTAGCATCAAGGAATTTTTTATTAACAAAGTATTGAATATCAAAGTCATTCTGGTTATTAGCGTTGAAATGGTCCAATGGAACAGTATATGTCATTGACTCAACTTCATTTAATTCTAATGTCATGAATGATTGAGATATTTGTTGCATTACTTGTTGGTTGAGTGAGAGTTTTGCGTAACTGCAAATAACACATAAAGCAAGAAGTAACATTGTTTTATTATTGTTCAGTTCTCCTTCTGTTTTCTTCGTTTTTAATACTGAAAAGTGTTTCTTAATGGAGTTTTCTTTTTCTTATTAATTTATTATAATATACTATTAAAGTATAGTTTCAAGATCTTAAAAAGAATTAAAAGAAATATTGAGTGATATAAAACAATAATTAATGAAACATTCAGTGGTCTTTTTGAAAGAATTGGATAAACCCATTACCCGGTTTGTAGGAGTTTTGTGGAGATAATGAAAATGAACTTGGCAATGAAGAAGGAAGACTTTCTTGTGCTTGAAGGGAGCGTTGAGGAGAAATATCTCTATAAGGAGAACGATGGATAAATGAAATTTCTCTAGAAAGACTTCCACACCGTAATTTAGAGAATTGTATTGGTCTAAATGGTGATTCACTAATTTGAGGGTAAATAATTGGTTTAGAGTCGTTTGGTTCTTGTATTTCTCCTACAGAAGAACATTTGAATTTAGTTTTAAGTGGTATTTCTGTTGTTGGAACTAAATCTTTTACACTAAATGAATGTGAACGAGTAGTTCTATTAACATTTGATGGATAAATAGATGTAAGAATATCAGGAAAGATTGAATCAATAAGACCAATATCAGTATTAAATGAAGAGATAGAATAAACACCAATTGTTGCATGATCCAACTTACCTTTTAATCCTTGTTTTCTAATTCGATTTTGATTTTGTGAATGAAACTCTCTTGCATCTTCAGTTTCTTTAATTATGAAGTCATCCATAGATACTACAAATTCATTCAGATTTGCACATGATTGAATTCTAGGTGAAATAACAGTATCAAGAATAACTTGAGGAGAAACATTTTCTTTTTGTAAACGAAGGTTATCAGCAAATCCATCACTTGTAACAATAATTATATCATGTAATTCTACATCAATAACTTTTAAATAAGCTCCTGTTAGTTCTGGTAATAAATTAGGGGTATTGCCAATTCTTCCACCACATTCTTGAGTTGATTTAATAGAACGACACCATTTTTTATTAATACTAAATGTTCTACCAATAGCAGATTTATATATAAATGCTTCACAATCACCAACAGAAAGAATAAGAGTATATGGTTGAGTAGAAGTAACAGTAATAACAGTTAGTATTGTACATGTACTATTAGGTAATATTTTAGTATGGTGTTGTTGTATCTAAAAGAATTAATGAAAAACTATTCAAAGAATTCTGAAAATATCTTTAAGTTCTTAAGAAGTACACAAACCCGATCATGTGCTTGATATGTTGAACTAACTAATGCATTTGCAATTTCATGAAGTCTAACACATTTTGAAACTTCATTAAACATAGAAGATAATACAGTTTCAACTGCTATATGAGCAGCACGTGCAGATGTCACACCCCATCCACATCCATCTGCAACGACCATAACAGTACAATTTGTAAAACGTTGTATTCCAATACAATCACAATTTGGCTCTCCTTGTTTCACATTTTTAAAACATGGATATGTACTAAATGAAGAAAGACTAAATGATTGGTCATATCCAAGTACTTCTTGGTAATCTTCAATGATATGTTTTGAAAAATTTCTTGTTGTAATACTTTTGATTTCTACATTAGGGATATCTTTTAGAAATGGTTTAAATTTTTTGTTAAATATTTTAGAAGAATTACCTTCCATTGTTAGCTTTAAAAAAGAACAAAATGAATAAGGAGTTAATGAAAAATGAGATGCTCATTTTTTTTTTTTGATTTTTAATGAAAGAATGGTTAAAAAATTAGTTTTGTTTCATTAGTTATTAACTCCCATTTTTTCTACTCCTGTCATTTCATTTATTATTCCTTTAACAAGTTTACTGTTTTTTCTTCGAGAATTTATGTGATACATTTCTTTAGGTTTGCTTTCTATAGAAAATAAATACTAAAATAAAAATGAAGTAAATAGGATTAGAATAATTCCTTGAGACTTGCCAAAAACAATTTACCTTATTAACTAAAACAAAGTACTTCTCTAAACAATAAACTCTTTGAACTTTCATTTTTTTTAAAATGACTAAAACAAAATATTTTTTTTCTTTGGATAACAAAAAAGAAAAGTTAGAAATCATTATTCTAAATTAATAAATATCTCTTATAACATTATTTTCCATCTTAATTCTTCTTAACATAATTCCCTTAAATATTCCTTTTTTTATTGTTAATATCTTTGTTGGTTAAATTAATTATTATTATAAATTTTAGATTTTTAATTCAATCATCAAATATTACATATTTCAATATAATGAAATAAACTTATATATATTTGTAAAAGATTTGTTCATAAATATCAAAATAAAAATTTTTAGAATTATTTTAGTATATCTATAAGATAAATTGTGCTAGTGTTAAAACCTCTTTTAAACTATTCTCATTTAAAATAATAAATAATAAATCAAAATTTTTATAAATTTAGTTAAAAGGATTAGTTACTAAATAGGAGTTGTTTGTATAATATCATATTCATTCAATATTTGAATTTTTATTAAATATTGAATTTTATTAAGTATGATAAAGGATATTTAATATAAAAAATTAAATACGATATTTCATCCATTTTTATACGTTTATACTGTCTTTTTTTTTCCTATTAACTTTTTTATTTATTTTGATGCAAATGAAACTTAACTATAATGTATTCAATAAGTCTAATAGGTTAGTCTTGTTTTAGTAACAAAAACCAAAGAATGTTTTTAGTATTATTATAGTTAATTCATGTTTATGACGTCTAAAATATATGTACTACTAATACTTTTTAAACATAAACTAACATTATTGTCAGTCTCTCTTATATAAATCTTTAGAAAAAAAAACTTTAAAATAGAGTTATTTTTCTTTTAAAATAAGATTGAAGAGAAATTATATAAAAAGATATTTATAAAAGAGTTGACGTTATTTATGAATTAGTCATAAAAAAATGAATAATAAATAAAATAATTAATTAAATAAAATATCATTTTGAATAATTTTTTATTGTTAATTGACAGAATCTGAAAGTTTCTTAATTTAATAGTATAGAAATATTAATCAATAGATGCTTTTTCTAACAAAAATTTTATGAAAAATAATATTTTTATCTTAGTCAATACAAAAACAAATAACCTGAATTTCATAATAACTTAATTATTATTTATATAAATAAGTAAGTATTTTCTTTAATTTCTATATCTTAAAATAAACGTATTGGTTATTATTTAATGAATAATCTTCTTAACCAATTTTTCTATAGACATATAATTTAAAGACAAATATAGTAAATCTCTTTTGATTCATTATTTCTCCATTCAAATGTTCTAATTTTATTCTATATCTTTGACTAATAAAAAAAGATTAAAAAATAGAAGTTTATTTTTCAATAATTCATAAAATTTGAATGATAAATTAGAAAATAAATTTTTTATTTTAATTTAACATGAAAAATTCAAGAGGTTAATAATAATAATAACAATCTGTTAAAGTTGGCTAAGTTCTGAAAGGTATTGTTGGATTTCTTTATTAGGTGTAAAGACTAATGGTGTTTCTTTTGCTGTAAGAAGCATACTCATAATATGTGATATTTTATCTACTTTAATCATATTTAAAGAGCCATCTTCATAGAAAGAAGGTAATTGAGAATATCTAATAATTTCACCCATCCATAAAGCAGTAACAGGAATTTTAGGAGAAGAATGTTTTTCAAAATCTAATTTATAATTTTTGTTATTTCCTGAAATAGAGAACAATTGTTCAAGTTCACTCCATTTATTTTTTGTAGAACGTTTCATTTCCTATTTTATATTAGTTTTTAATGTAAAATATAAAATAATAATAACAAACAATCCATCCTTGTGGTTTAGAAGTACAGTATTTATTCAAAGAAGAAAAGATCATATAAGCAACATTATAATCTCCATACTCAATACAATCAACAGCAACTTTAATAAAGAATGAAAAAATCTTTCTTTTAGGAGTATTTTTAACAGAACAAACAGTTAATGATTCTATTTTCTTTACTTTATTAATATAGTTTTGAAGTGTTCTAAAATGTTTAGTAGTATAAAATTCACTACAATATACTGTTTTTAAAGCTTCATGATCATATATCATTAATTGAGCTGCAACTATTCTATGATGTATTTCATATAATGTAAGTTCTTTAACTTTATCAACATCTTTTAATTCAATTTGAATAAGACTTTGAATTCCAACTCTTCTTGGCATAGTAAATTGTTGATTTTTTTCTAAACCAATTTTACTTTTTATAACTGGTTTCATCTTTTCTAAACTTTCAGTGAATTTTTCAATAAATAATTCATCAAATAAATCAGACTGAAATAAACAACTATGAACTAAACTATCATAAACATTAGGAATAACTTCTTTAAATATTTTTGTCCAACAAATAAGTAAACGTGTAAGTCTACTTTTTCTAAATGGAAATTGTGGATCTTTTTTACTCATTGTCTTTAAAAAAAGGTCATGAGTTTGGTATATATGTTCTAGAAATTCTTGAGCATTTAAATAAACAAAACACTGTAAGAGAAAATATTCAGGACTTAATAATGGTATATTAAAATAACTATTCCAATGAGCTTCTTTATCACAACTTAATAATACTCCATCAGGAGAATAAACTATTCCAAATGATTTTTCATTAAAAAGCTCTTCTGTATAAGTAAAGAGCATGTGCATAAAACGTCTACAATTTAATGGATATGTGAGGTCTTCTTTAAATAAGAAGAGAAGAAGTAAAGACCGTTTTTTATGAAGTCTTACAATAACATCAACTAAACGTCTTAACATTAGTCGTTTGGGTTTATTCAATCCCCAAATAAGAAGTTTAGTATTAACAAAATTTATAGTCATAAAAAGATCATTTCTAGTATAAAATCTAAGATTACTAAATTCCAATAACTCCAAATATTCTTCATCAGTAACTCCTTCTACACTTTTGAGTAAATCATCAACAGAAATTGATCCTTTTTTATAATTTGCTGATAAATGGCGGGGACTGTTCTTAGATGATCCAACACTAATATGGACTTTTTCATTTAATGGTGTAAATACCCCACTACTATTAAGGGGTAAGTTATCATAACTGTTGGACTTCATAAAATGGGGTTTTAAACTTAGATTTTCTGATCATATTTATAGTTAAATAAAAAGAAAATTATCGTTATGAGAATTGTTTTAATTCTTTTATTATAAAATTATGAATATACGTTGTTATTCTAAATGATATTAATAGTAAAGTAAAATCGATAATATTATTCAATTCATACAACTTATTTTCATAAAAGTAATTAACTATGAATAAATGAAAAATTTAAGTAATACTACCAAAAGGAAGGATCTTTTTTTGGAAACAACGTTATTATTTGAAAAAATAGGTTTATTTTCTCACTAAAAGGAAACGAAAAATTAAAAAAATTGATAATTTATTTTAAATATTTTCAAGAGTTACTCTTACTTGAATTATTTTCTGTTTTTTATATCTGTTTAAATAATTTATGTTTTAGAAAAGGTAACAATTCAGACAAACAACATAATTTTACAATAACAGACATTTTCTTTTCTTATTTGTTGTTTCATTATCATTACTACTTATTTTATTCTCTCTACTTCGTTTAACAATCATTTGGAATGTTTCGTCAACATTAATTCTTTTTTTAGCAGAAGTTTCATTGAATCCAATTCCTTTTTCTTGAGCGAAAGTTAATCCTTTTTCTTTTTGTACAGTACGTTCATTATTTAAATCAATTTTATTTCCAACTAAAACTATTTGATGATAATGATCATCTTCTTTTGTTCTTAAAATTTTATCTACATATTTTTTTGCTGTTTCAAATGTTTTTTCATCAACAATACTATATACAATAAGAAAACTATTTGTCTGTCTGATATAAGGATCAATCATTGTTTGATATTCTTCTCTTCCAGCAGTATCAAGAATATCTAAGACGCAAACTTTCCCATCAACATTAATATTTTTTCTATAACAATTTTCTATTAATTCTATAAGTTTTTGAAAGGATGTATGTTAAAAAAAATAAATATTGAAATTTATTTTTTCTTTAATACTAAACTAAACCAAACCTACTGTTGGATCATATTCTTCTACAAACATATTCATTGTAAATTGAATTGTTAATACTGATTTTCCTACACCTCCATCTCCTAGTACCATTACTCTAATCAACTCAACTTTATATTCTTCTGTCATTTAATCTTTAAGATGACAAACTAAAGTTCTTTTTATTTTTTAATGAAAAAAACAATAAAATAAGAAGAACAGTTGATTGGAACTTTAATTCTTTTTTACAACTTTAGATGCATTTTGATGGTTAGATGTTGATGACTTGGATACTTCTATTCCTAAAATTTTAAATCTACGATGTCTGTTCAATAAAAATGAATGATAATCATTTGAACATGACGATATGAATATTTCTTCTTTCATCGCTAAGTCAGAGGCTTGTTGTGGTTCATATCCCAGTTTACAAAGATGTTGATTAATTAATTGATATGTTCTATAAAATTAGAAAAGTTTAATAATATATTATTACACAATAAACAAATACAAACCCTTGTCGATGAACAATTGGTACTTTAATGTCACAACTTTCTTTTAGTATAATTCCTTTAAGGGGTATTGTTGTTGGACCTTGTTGTGAATATGGATTTATTTGAAATAATCTTTTTCTTTCTTCTTCTTCCCATCTCTTTCTTTGGAGTGGTGTCATATTTTCTGGTTTTGGTAATATTGGTGGGGTAACAGTTTCTTTATTCACTTCATCTTGTTTAACTGTTTTAATTTCTTCTTTAGGTTCATTTATACCTTGAGACTGAAATTCTTTTAATTTTTCTTCATATTTATCGTCATATTCAGTTATTATTTTTTCTTCATTACCTTCATTCATTGGAATCGAGTCAATTTGAAAATCATCAGTTGTATTTATGTCATTTAAAGAATCAATAGTTTGTTCTTTTGGATTTGGTTGTAATGGTGGTTGTACTTTGTTTTCAATATTTCTTTCTGTTTCTGGTTGAAACAACCCACAGCCATCAGACTCTGGCATTGTTGGTATTCCATTTTTATCAGTAAAAATATCATTAAGAGACATATCATTTGTTGTTTGTTTTTGTGGTTGTTGTATTTGTTGAATAGGTAAAGTAACATTTGTTGGTTTATTTTCTGTATTAGTTTTTGGACCAAATGAATTTATTTTAACAGGGACATAGGGTTGTATTTTCTTTGGAGTTTGGTATTCCATTACAGGTTTTTGTTCTGGTCCTGTAGATTCAAATGAAAAGAATCTATAATCATTTAGATATTGTGCATTTCTATTTGTTTGTGTAGTATTATTGTTTTGATTATTTTGATATCTTGACTGTTGAGAATTTAGTGGAGTTTGATATTGATTCATAAATAAATTGATTTAAAAGTTTGAATTTTTTTTGAAATGAAAAAATAATTTCTATAAATATTTGTATTTATGTAAAGATTCTAAAATATTTATGTTATCTAAAGAATCTAATTTCATACTTATTACAAGAAAAATTTAATGAATTAACTTTTCCATTATTCCAATGATTGCTCTTGTTATTCCTTAAACAAAAGTTTAGTTGGATTTTACCTTAGAAATACTGAAAAATTTAAAAAAAAATTTTTTAATTAATGATAATAAAAAATGTCTATATTCATATGTTTTTAGCTTTTCTTAAAGCGTTTTTTTCATTAATAAATGAAAGAGATAAACATTTATAAATATTTAAATTCATTTTTACTTTATTTTCTTAATAAATTATAAAAATTTGATTAAATTCTTTAATAAAATAAAATTTTAATAATAGAAATAATAACAACTTTCCTTAACTCTTCTTCTTTCTATTAATAAATTTTGATTAATAATTTGTTATTAGTTTTTGATGGTTTTAAATTTTCTTTTTTAAAAGAATAAAAACAAATAATATAAACTTCCTTATTATTAAATTTTAGATATTTTATAAATTAATTTACTCTAAAGTACTTATTTACAATATCAAATTTATTCTGTTTTAATTCATTTCTTTTGTTGAAAAATCATTGTTAATATATGAACAATGAATTTAATGAAAAAGTTTCATTGTTATTTTACATAATAAATTAAAAAGAAAAAAAATTTTTGATATTAAACTTTTCCATTAAGCTTCTTGTTTTTGATTGAATTCGTTTATTTTATTTATCATTTCAAGATTAAATTTATGTAGTTCATCAAAGTCTTTTTTAACATCAACATATCCTAATTCTTCAACTCTACTTTGTGTTTTTTCGTATTTTTCTTGACTGAGAAGTGTAGTTGAGTTGAGTTCTCCTCGTTGAGTCTCTAATGAAACTAATGAACTAAACAAATCATTCATTTTAGTTATTTGAGTGATTAGTGAATGTTTTGTTTCTTCTTTATATTTTGTATTTTCTCTAATTAGTCTAATAAGATTGATATAATTCTCAGAGACTTTGATTTTCAATTGAGTTAAATCAGATTTTATAATATTTGTGTCGTTGAATATCTTTTCAAGGTCTTTGTCTTGTTTCTTTAAGAATTTAGTCATAGAAATAGTTCTATCAATATATATTTGTCTTTGCATTCTTTTATCGAGTCTTGCATTTACTTGTTCTTTTTCTTTAATGTCTTCATCTAGACTTTGGATTTCAAGAATGATGGCTTTTCCTTTTTGTCTTATTTGTTTAACTTCTTTTGCTTTTTGTTTTGTTTCTTCAATAATTACGTTATTTTTCTTTTCATTTTCTTGGACTTCTTTCTTCATTTCATCTTCATAAAGAGTCCATTTTTGTTTAAGACCTTCTAATTTATTCATTTCACTTTGTTTAAGTTCTTCTAATTTTTCTATATATTCATCCTTATCATTTGCATCAATGTC